AAGAATTATTTAAAATTTAGGATGGATATAATGCACAGTGATAATCACAACATTTTTATATTGCAGACATCACTACTGAAAAGAATGACTAACTCAAGTAAAGTCTCTATCAACTCTGAGAAGAAAATTCATCAGCAAAGATAATGACTTCTTTCAAATTTGTAGCTTAAGTTATCAATGCTTAAAACTGTAAACAACTTAGTGGAGATGTATAAATTTTGTGACCCCTATTTAAAAATCTAAAATGTTAACAAATTGTATTAAAATAGTTATTTTAAAAAATAATTTAAGCAAGTGGAGCCTAATCAGGCTGAATTTCTCAGGAAGCGTTTTGGCCCTAAGGAGACTTCAGAGAAGTCAGGTTTGAAGACTGTGAGGGGTTACTCATGAAGATTGTTCTAGAGGAGGCCAGGATTTGTCTCTTTCTTTAGCTCCCCTCAGGGTTAGTAATTTTGAAATATTATTTTAAATATTATGAAAATTATTTATTTTAAATATATCATTCTCCACCCTCAACCTGGAGGAAGGGAACTGAGTGAGTTTGAGCAAGTCCGAGGTTTCCCAGGAGGGGGCAGCATCGTACAGAGCTTAAAACAAGCAAAGGGCCTCCCCCTCCTTTGAGGTTAAAAGAGCAGAGAAAAACAAAGCACCTCAGGGGGCAGCTTCCCGCAGGAAGTTAGAACCTGAAATCAAGACATTTTCAGAGAAAACTTTGAGCACTTAAAATAAGTTTTAAACTTTAAGTTTATAGGCGAAATAGGTGACAGATAAATGTGATAGTTGTGATGACCATTTTCTGAAGTTAGAATCTGCAAAAGTCTTGGACATTTATGAATATGACTGGATAACAAATTTTTAGTTGATGTTGTTCTGGAAAATTCAAGACTTCCTGGACTTCAAAACAAAAGACTGAGACGTGGGGCTCTAGTTCACTACCCCTCAACCTCAGGTCCCCTTCAAGAAAGGTGCTGAGAGACAACAGCTAGTGGAGAAATTCTTGGTTCAGATGGACACAGATATCTCGAGGTGAAGAAAACATTCTGAGAGGAAAGACCCAAAGGAGATGTTTTGTGAGACAAAAGGCAAAGTGACGGAGAATGGCTGACTGAGCCAGAATGAAGTGAATACAGAGCCAAAGAAAGGGCTCCCATTTTGGCAGAAGCAAGAACAGAAAAAGTCTTAAAAGATTCAAAGAGTCAGAAAGGGGCTGAAGAATAGGATTGCGAGGGGCTGTTGTTTTCCTTTATATTCTTCTGTCTTTTCAAAGTTCTGCACTTGGTACTTCTGAAGTAAAGGGAAACCCTCCCTTGTTATTTTGTTAACATGTCAAGGATAGAAGTCTGGTACCTTCTGTTCTTGGCGGCCAGTCTTGTGTCTCGCTCCTTGAATCTCCTTCACTAACCGGTGTGGAATAATCACAGTCATCCTCTTGGTCAAACTCCTAAAATATCATAAAACAGAGTTTAATTGGTCAATGTACTACTTGTAGGCTAAAGTTTCACACTGTGAATTCCTTTTAAATTAGAGAAAGTGTCTAGGACTTGAACAATGGGAAAGTATCTGCTGTAGGGAACCCTGATGGTATAGTGATGGTTAAAATACACTATCCCCATCCTACCCCCCCCCCCTACTAACAGTGTTTAGCAGTTGGAACCAACAGGCTGCTACACAAGGCAAAGGCATGGCAGTCCAGAGATTCCGGCCTTGGCACCTGGTGGGGAGGACTCCTCTGTCCTATAGAGTGGCTCTGTGTCACTTGTGATAATGGTAATCAACTCAACAACAATGGATTTTCAAGTCTTTGGTTTCATCTTGGTCTTTGCTGTTTTCCCCTGCAGCACCATGCTCAGGCAGATGTGAATGTGATTAATTGCATAAGCCAACGCTGTTTACTAAGTTGTGAGCATTTTCTTCTTAAACTAGATACAGTTTCCTTGTAATGCAATTATTTTCTCCTAGTTTGAAGTTTAAAATGTTAATGATGTGTAATTTATCATGTTTTTTAATGGCTTGTGCTTTTGGTATCATACCTAAGAAGTGTTTGCTTACAAGTTATGAAAATATTTTCCTATGATTTATTAAAAAGCTTTGAGTTTTGCTTTAAAAAAATTGCATAAGGGGAATCAATATTTTATACTTTATCATGTCGGCATCCAGGCTGCTAAGTTACCACAAATTCCATCAGGGTGGGTGACTGGAAAGAATCCTTTTGCTACAGTCACTGTGAACAACCCCAAAGGAATGCACTATTTTTCCCATGTTGCCTCCCAAGGGCATCATTTGTAAATGATGAGGGTGGAAATCTCTGCCCTTTGTGGAAGCTGCAGATATAACTCTGGACTCAAAGGAGGCAGCAAAGCTGATTAAAGCTTCTCTATGATGGTTTCCTGACCTAACCATGGTGCTCAGCCTCTCAAAACTCCCCCTATGCTCTAGAAAACAACCACTGTGCAAAAACACAAGGTTGCAAATGAACCTGGCTTATACAAAGTATTGTGAGCTCCCCAAAGAAGTGCTTTCTTATAAGAGTTTGTTGTTATTCTTTTGTTCATTTAATTCTGAAATTCTAGTAAGATTCAAGAAGTAGGTAAAGCAATGCCATTGCAATCTAGATAATGCAATTAGCCCCCTGCTGTCTCTGTGGATGAACCTCCTATTTGAGGGGATATCAGTAAAAGGGACCCTGGTGGCACAGTGGTCAAAGCTCAGCTACTAACCAAAAAGTCAGTGCTTTGAACTCATGACAGGCTTACCCTCTGGGGCCACTTCTGCACTGTCCTGGTAGGCTGCTATGAGTCACAATGGACTAGACAGTATTAGGTTTGGTTTATTGTGTTGGTATTGATTTTTTTTAAATAAACCGTCTTTGCTCTAAATGTAGATGCCTGTAATCTGACAGTTCAGCCAGCCAGCCTGTCTTAGTCACAAAGGATCTGATGTTCCATTTGTTAACTCCCCAAAGAGCCTGGAAAGGGCTTCTTTGTTCATTTAAGTTGTCATAAAATACTGCCATATTAGACAGTCAATCATACAGACTTCACTGTCACATGTTTATGCAGCACTTCATACTTTTCCAAAGGCGAGGTGCCTAACAAAAGCTATCCTGGCAAGTAATTGGAGATGGAATAACTGGGCTGTTTCATCCTTCTAAATTATTAGTTTTACTATTTAACCTTCTAAGAACATAAAAAATTTTATCACGACCAAGTAAATTCCTTTTCTCTCATCTAGAGTTAACTCTTTCTAGAAGGTATAGAAATAGAGAAAAGAATTATTTGAAAAAGTGGGAGAAAAAAGTCACCCACAATCTCTCAGCTAAAAAGCAAACAATGTCAATAAACAAATTCCATTTCCTTTCCTTTTTTCTAAGTAATCAAGATTTTTATTTGTTAAACATCTGGCTCTTTAAACAACATATATAGATAAGTGATTATGTAAATCTAATCTACTACTTAAATTTCATTTGGCATTTAAAATGTCTTTCCTTGCCTCCAAAGAAAAATATGGTTTCATCCTCTTTGGGGCAGACTAGTTTGTTCTCTCAGCAGTTGGTGGTATGTTCAATATTATACTCCAGGACCATAGCTCAAAGGCATAGAAAAAGTTTTGTCATCCTTAATCATTGCTTAGCTCTCAGATGCATAGCAAGCAATTGAGAAGACCATGGCCTGGATCAGATGCACCATAGTCTTTAGACTGATATAATTCTCTTTAGCATTCTGGAGGGGCCCTTGACGAGCAGGCCAATGCAACTAATCTTTTGATTTCCTGACTACTGGTGTCAAGGGTGTTGATTATAGATCTGAACAAGATGAAATAATTAAGAACTTCAATCTTTTCTCCATCTATCATGATGCTACCTATTGGTTCATTGGTGAAAATGTTTGTTTTCTTGATGTTGAGATGTAATCCATATAGTTAAGGCTGCAGTCCTTGATCTTCTGCAGCAAGCACTTCAAGTCCTCCTCAGTTTCAGTGAGCAAGACCGTATTATCTGCATAATGCAATTCGTTGATGCGTCTTCCTCCAATCCTGATATCACATTCTTTTTCATAAGGTCCAGGCTCCTATCATCATATAGATTGACAAGATATGGAGAAAGGACATATCCATGATGCACAGCTTTCCTGACTTTTGAACCATGCATTGTTCCTTTGCTCTGTTCAGACAACAGTTTCTTGATCTAGGTGTATGTTTCACGTGAGCACAATCAAGCCTTCTGGGATTACCATTTTTCTTGATGTTAGCCACAAGTTGTGATCTAGACAGTCAAATGCCTTTGCCAACATAACAACAGTTTGCACTTTAGTTCTCTATAATTAATGTCTAGTCTATTTGTAACCTTTGGCATTATTTTTCACTGGTTTATCAAATCCATCTATGTTTGAGACTTACTCTTCTTACTTTCTGCTTCATTGACTACTGCTATTGTTGTGAGTTCTTCTCTTTCACCAACCTTCCTAACCGTATTTCCTAACATGAAGCCCCTTCTCAAGGGACAGCTCCTTCTAGCAAAATGCCCAAAGTGTGTGAGATGAAGTTTCACCAGCCTTTCCTCTAAGGAGCATTCTGGCTGCACCTTCTCCAAGTCACATCTGTTTTTTTGTTTGTTTGGCAGTCCGTGGAATATTCAGCACTCTTCTCCAAACAAGACAGATTGGCACAGTGAAGGCAGCAATGCGCTCAATGTGTGTGAGAGATGATGGGAGGATGGCACAGGACAGGACAAAGTTCAGAATTGTTGCTTATAGGATCACTAAGAGTTGCACTCGTTTCAGCAGCACATACATCTTGGTTGTGAGCTGCTGTCATGTTGGCTCTGACTCATGAAAATCTCATGCACAATAGTACAAATGTTTTCTGGTCCTGTGCCATCTTCACCATTGGCATGTGTGCGTTCATTGCTCAAGCTCAGCTTTCAGCCGCATACCAGACAATAAATAGCGTGTTGTGGTCCACAGGTTCACTGGCTGGTTTCCAGGCCTTCCTTCCAAGTCTGGAAGCTTCACTGAAACCTGTCCACCATGCATGGTGTTTGAAATACTAATAATTTCCAGTGTCAAAACAACACATCAGTCATTACAGTGAGACAAACTGACCAACAGGAGCCATAATTTCACTTCTCCTCTTTGCAGCACCTAAAGTCATATTTCTTATTTGTCAACCTGAAAGAAAAGTTTGAGCTTTTTCTGTTAATAGAATCTTCTTTTCTTTTGTTTTTTATTTTATACTAGTCTCAAAGTAGCTGTTTTCCCCGCACTCATTTTGGTTGTGATGCTGTCATTATCCTGTTTATTCCAAAGCAAATATTTTGCTAGGCACTTGTAGATATCACATATCTTTTTTGGGGTGTTTTGAGTACAAAACTTAGGACTTAGTTTTGAGTACCTTTCCTCTTCATTTCCCTCATTGTTATTGATTCTTTGTGGTTCTTATCAATATTTTTTTGTTTCAAACTTTTCATGGTGGCAATGTAACAGAGTATTTAAGAGCTCTGGAACCAAATCTTAGTATCTGGGCAAGAATCTGGACTTTGATTATATAACCTTGAATGTTGTTGTTGCTGTGTGCCATGGATTTGGAACTGACCCACAGCTGACCCTCTGGTGGGTTTTCAGAGGCCAATAATCACATGGGAGAAGATTGTCCATCCTTCTCCCGCGGAGCACTGGTAGATGTGAATCACGTGCCTTTGAGATTGTGGTGCAGCTTCTTGCCACAAAGCTACCAGTGTTCCCTAACCTTGAATAAAGGATTTAAAAATTTCTGGGCCGCTTATATAAAATTGAGAATAGTTTCTAGTGTTAGAATTTTTATGATGATTGAATTAATTAGTTAATATATGTAAGTTGCAGAAAACAATGCCTGACACTGTTGATGTAAAAACTAACCATCATTATAGCTTTTATACATAGGTGTGCCCCCACTTCACTGTTGTCTAACTTTTCCTAAAAAGCCAATTAATAAAAGAGCTAAACAACTGAGTTGATGACAGTCTGTTACTCAAGAAAAAAAACTTAACATGAAAAGTCATACAACTGTGCATTTTACATTTCTAAAGGAGGGCTGCAATATTGCAAGGTTCAGCATAAAGACTAAATATTGAATCATTACAATTAATAGGTACTACAAAAATACAGTTTGAAGTCTCATGGAATGTTTTAGATTAAAAATCAAATCAAGGAAATACATGTACTAAGAGGAGAAAAAAATCAAATGGTCCACAGGTATATGAAACAATTTCCAGATTTTTTTTTATTAATTAAAAAATGCACATTCAAACCCCAATGAGATGACCAATTGCAACTATTATATCAGCAGAAATGAAAAGTGATGGTAATCAATGAAGGAGAAGCTGGGATGAAAAGGCAGTGTGTGTAAAGAAATTTTAAAATGTCTACATTACTGTAACTAAAAAGACAGGAACATACAAAATGAAGA